TCACGCCCCTTTGTGAAGGCGCCGAGAGCAAGGGGGGCCCCAAGGGCTGGGTGGAAGGGGAGCAGAGGGGGCCCGAGGGCAGGGTGGAAGGGGAGCAGAGGGGCCTGGGGGTCATGGCTGGCACAGGACAGGAGCAGAAGGGGGTGGCTGGGAGAGCAGAAGAGCCGTTTCCCTGGCGATGCCGGGCAGGGAGGGACTGGCCCTGGGGACCGGGGCTGGGGGCCCGGAGCCCGTGGGGCTGGGACCATGCCCATCCTCCATCGTGGCGAGTCGTGTGAGCCGCTGAGATCCTGGCGGCTCGGGCACCCCAGGGCTCGGGGGTCCCCGTGAGCAGCCGCAGCCCCGCCCGGCGCCGTGCAGGGCCCCCATTGTAAATAGAGACCTGGCCTGCAGCTGCGTCTGCCCAGCAATAAACGGCACCGCAGCGGGCAGCTGGGAACCGTCTCCCGCCTCTCACTGGGCACATGGACAGGACGTGGCCGGCGTGCGTGCGGGCAGTGGGCGTGTGTGCGCGCGTGCATGCGGTGGAAGGGCGAGTGTGCACGTGCGTGTGCACGTAGCAGCTCATGTGAGGGGGCACAAGGGCGAGCCCAGCGAAGGGTTCCCGGCCCAGCGCAGCAGGGAGTTCCATGGCTGCCACCTGCCCGCCGCGGGGAGCAGGGACTGACGGGCAGGGGCAGCCTGCCAGCCCCACACCTGGGAAACGGATTGTGGGGGAGGGGGGTTCGCTGGGACAGGCTGGGGGGAGGTTTGGGCAGGAAGCGGGAGGGCCTGGGGCAACACCAAGGGGTTCTGCTCCCCCCTTTCCCAGTTGGCGAGGTGGTGCGCTCATAAAGCAAAATGTGTGTGTGTAGGGGGGATCTGATTGTGCCCTACTTGCCCCCCCCCCACTCCAAGGACACTGCGGGGGCCCTAGCTGGCCCTCTGTGTCTCAGACTTTGCTGCCCAGTCCTGGCTGCCGGGCTTTGGTATCTAATGAACAAAGAACACGACTGGGGTCCAGAGCGGATGCGTGCACATTGCGTGTCCTGGGCGTGTGCGTGGTGCAGTAGGGGTGATGGGTCCCTGCATTCCATGGGCACAGCATTAAACTAGATGTGGCCGGTTGCGTCTGTATGTGCCTTACCTGTGTGGTGTGTGCAGTGAGGCGGGGGTTGTGTTTGCACACGTGTGGTGCACAGTGCAGTGTGCATGCGTGTCCATTTCGCACAGGGGTGTGGGTGCATTGCATGGTAAGGTGCACTGCGGTAGCAGGGCCCCAGTGCTAGCTCTACATGGTGCCAGCAGTGGGATACTAACACCATCCCCTCCCCCAACATCAGCACACACAGGGTGGCTCTAATGCAAGCAGGCACACCAGGGAGCCTCGTGCCCCAAAAGGGGGTGGACCAATAGCCCCAGGGGGGGCTGCTTTGCACCCTGCCCCCACCCAGCAGACTGGACCCTGTAGGCCCAGCCCTGAAACCCAGCGAGGCTGGCGGAAGAGAGAAGCCAAACGCCGGAGGGGAATGCCCAGTTGGGCAGCACCAGGCAGGGAGAAAGATCCGAGCAGAGGAGCTCGGCCCTGGGCACATCCAGGAAACGCTGCACGTCCTCTCCCCTCCCCCCCGGCACGGGCGGAAAGATTTCTCCCCCGCCCACCTCG